CCTGCAGCCCAGCCTCTGCAACCACTCATAATGGTGCACTCTGAGCGGACTTGGAATAATAAAGGACAAAATAAAACGCCCTAGATAGCTAGATGCTTGTCAAAGGAATGAATACAATGAGCCCAAATGTTGACTTCCTCCCATGCAGAGAAAAGCACTAAATTCTTGAACTTGAGATGCCTGATTTTCTTTAGGTAACAAGTAATCATTTATTGTTCCAACTACCTGGTCTTTGTTGTAAAGTTCCTATATATCCTAGCTCCTCCCCTACCTCTTCGGAGCAATCCTTCAGAGCCATGTGAGGGGCTGTCATCCTGGCTCGAGTCCTCCCACCAAATAAAACATAACTCTCAAAAAAAAAAAAATTGCTACTCACACACAAACAGCCACTACCTTATAATGTATAAAGGAACTTAGGCAGAAAGTGCCAACAAGTGGAAAGATGGACAAAAAGGGAGAAATACAAATAAAGTTGCTGCAAAATTTTCTCAAAATTAAAAAAAAAAACTTTACAAACATGGTAATTGTCTTCAGTGAAAAAGAAAAGGGAAGGTATCAAAGTATCACAGAAAAATAAAGTTCAACTTCATCAGTAATCAAAAGGAATAAATTAAAACTGGATACCAACTTTTCTGCATAATATGAAATATCAGCACTGTTGAGAGGGTGGTGAGATAAGCATTTCTGTAAACCTCTGGTAGGTATATAACTGGTTGTGAGTTTTCAGGAGAGCAACCTGGCAATATGTAACAAGACTCATCAGAATATGCACATAGTGTGCCTCAGGCAAGAGAACTACTATGAGTGTTAACAGAGTATGGGATTTATCATATGAATGGACCTTACACAACTGTGGGAAAAGCTGGGAAGTGAAGCCCTGATGGGGGTTTGAGTCAGTGAGACACTGACCAATCCTCAAGCACTGAGGTGGGTGGACAAGGTAGAGCAGATCTGAGACACTGCTGTGGGCATGCAAAGGAGGACTCGGATTTGTTGGGAGATCTCTGGGAGGCCATTGCCTCCGGGGATCCAAAGTCAGGCATCAGGCACCCAATCTAGGGCCTCTGTCCATCAGCAGGGCCAGGAGTCTGGAAAAAGGGCTGCATGCCAAGAGAAGCGTGAGGACCACCTGGAACCCACCAGGCAGCTCAGCTTCTGACAACAAAGACTTCCAAAGAGTAAGCAAAGCTGCTGCCTCACTTCTGCTACCAGACTTCACAGGAGTTCCTCTCTCGGCCAACTCTACCTCTGAGCATGCAGGGAACGTATTTCTGGGCAATGTAGTTCTCGGCTTCACCAAGACGAAAATAAATCCAGCACTCGTATCTTTTGATCCTGTTAGTTCCATTCCACATATAGGACTGGATTCTGATGAGGAGGAAAATGTAGTCAAAGATTAAATAAAAATATAACTATAGTTCCCATAGTTAAAACAGGCAAAATTGGAATTATTTGCCCAACAATAGAGGAATGGTGAAATAGATTAAGGTAAGACACAGACAGGACTTTCATGCATTCACTTAAAAATTATTTCAAATGACTTTATGACATGGTTATAGCTTCATGATGGAATGAAAACAGTAGACACAAAACTGTACCTGTATTAGAATTATGATTTTGGAAATATATTCATAGATTTGATTTTCTTTTTATACTTTCTTATACCTTTCCCTATTCTTCACAAAACAGCCAAAGTCATCTTTTTAAATATGGATAAAATCATGTGTCTCCCTTGCCTAAAATCCCAACATGGCTTTGCTTTGCACCTAGGACAAAATGCAAGCCCTTCCCACAATGTCTGCAAGGTCCTCCGTGATCCTACCTTTGTAGCTGATCTGTGTGAATCTCTGACAGCTCTCTGCTTGGCTCATTCAACTCCAGCCCCACTGGGCTTTGGTCAGTTCCTAGCTTCAGCTAACATCTCTCCCGTTTGAAGAGCTTGGCAGTTTTTTTCTCAACATATCCTTCTCCCAGTTCTGACTGATCCTTTCTCATTATTCAGATTTTAGCTCAACTGTCACCTCCTCTAGGGGGCCCTTTTCTGAGCACCACATCTGCTGTGTCTCCATTCCCCTCCCTACCCAGCAGTCATCCTCCATCTCATTGCTCTGATTATTTTTTCCTTAACTGAAATAGTATGCTTTTTCCTTAGCAGTCTCCCTCACTAGGGAGTAGGGCCCATGAAAGCAAAAACATTATCTGTCGTATTCATCGTTATAGCCCTGTGACTCTAACCAAGCCAGCAAGGCTCTCTGTGTTTTCACTGAATGAATGGGTAAATGAATGGATCAGTTTCCTGAGTTTTCTATGGTGAGCATTTGCCCCTTAATAGTAAGGAAAAGATATTTAGAAGGAATATGTTGCCTGAAGGGCAATCTTGTGTCAGGAAGGATTTTCACCTGTTATATAATTAATCTCTCAAATGTCATAACTACTGATTTTCCAGGCCTATTTCTGCTATTCTCTTCCTCTTAGAAGATGTAGGTAGGAGTCTCCACTTGACAGAGAGATGTGAATAAATCTCTGTAAAAACACAGGAATCTAAAAAGCATTCTCCCATATAAACCATGGCATGCATAGCAGTTAGTGGGCAAAACCCATTACACCATGATAACACTGTAGAACTCCCAGAGAACATGAATTTAAAGCCCATTTTAGGGCTATAACTGCCTCCTCTTGTAGCGCAGTGGTTCAGTCACCCTCATCACTTCTGGTTTGCTTTAAACACCACCCACCAACATTTCTACTCTCTTCACGTCTCTCAGCCTCTCCTGCCTCCGTGTCCTACCCTATCATGAGCAATGTGTCAGCCAGGCCTACTGGTTAATCTTCAACTTCCTTGTTTCTCTGTCCTTCCAACTCTCCCGTCTGAGAAAATCTCAGCTATAGAAAAATCCAACTCTCTATCTTCTCTCCATGTCTGTGTCTGGGCTTTAAGCTCTCTCCGGATTAGCAAAATTTTGTATCCTTTTGCCTTACGTTGCCTTTTTATGTTCCAGTCTTTGGAGGTCCCTTGTTCACTAGGCACTTGAATATAAAGAAAGAGGTGAGGCAAGGCCGAGTGAAGTCAGGCTGTGGAGCCTGAATATTTTCACCTTCATGATCAAACAACACAGGCCACACAAGGGTGTGCGACAGGACTGTGTATGTCAGGTTTTGTCAGGGCCCTCCCTCCACTGCAGCAGCCAAGCGTTGTCCAGGCAGCTGACACGTGATTAGCTCACTTGGCCAAGAATCAACAGCAAAAGGGTGCTGTCTACTCTCCATCACTATCCAGGCCTCCAGTCTAGGGAAATTGTCTCATTCTCCTTAGTATAGGACTAGGTTTTATAGATAAGAAATAAAAGCATCAGAGTAGAGCTTTCATTAGCTTTTATTCAGAAGGTGGAGTAAACAGGTGAACCTATTTCTCAAAAATTGATTTTGAGGATTTTTCATTAAAAAAAAAATCATTTCCAAAATAATCAATGAAAGACTTCTAACACTCTGTTGTGGTAGATGGGTTTAGCAAGCATGAATTCCAGTGATGGCAGATAAACAAGCAACTTTGTGGCATATAACTTAGCAGCCTGGCCTTTTTTGTGCTAACCTGACTCTGAATTTTGTGGCAAATGAAACTCTGTGTGACAGGTTCTTTTTTTTAGACTCTGACACTGGCGGCTATTTTGTTCAGTTTTATGGTTATGTAAATTTTGGTGTCAGCCTCAGCAATTTTTCATGCTTTCCATGTCACCCTAAGGAAAGTGGGCAATCATCAGAAAGTAGCCGTGGCGAACTTCCTCTTGCCTATTACCAATTGCTGCTGGAGAAAAATCACCCTGCAAAGCAGATTGATTTCACTTTAAATTTGTGGATACCCACTTCAGCTGGGTCCAAAATATTCCCAGTTAATTCAGTGGTTCTCAACTCACTTCTTTCTCTTATACTCAACAGGGATTGTTCAAACCTTCTCTACTATCAAAACTCCAATTCTCTCTTTATTTTCAGAAAAAGACTGTGTGTCTTCCTTGGCATAGAAAATAGAAGCCATCTGAAAAGTCCTCTCTCCATTCTCACAACAATTATCCTAAAGTTCCCTAATCTAGATTCAACTCATTTCCCTTCTTTTCAACTACCAGGGACGAGGTCTTCTTGTTCTGTTTAAAGTTTATCACTCTGCGGCAGGCAGTCTGTGAGATGTCTTCCGATGACTCCCACTTATTGGTATTCATACCCTGTGAAATCTCCTCCCCTTGAATGAAGATTGGACACAGGTGACTTCTCCCAAGACATAGAATACAGTCAAAATAATAGAATGTCACTTCTGAGATTAGGTTAACAAAAATATTACGACTTCTCTCTTGGGTACTCTAACTCTCTCTTCCTCTCTCACTTACTGACCCTGAAGGAAGCCGGCTGCTCTGTTGTGAGGTGCCCTATGGAGAGGTTCATGGTCTAAGGGAGGCCTCTAGCTGACAGCCAGTAAGGAACTGAGGCTCTTGGCTCACCAGCCTGTGAGAAGCTGAATGCTGACAATAATAGGTGAGTAAGTATAGAAGTCCTCTCCCTTCCTCTCCCCACACTGCTGAGTCATTCAGTGAGACCACAGGCCAAGCAAATAGCCTGACAGCATGTTCATGAGAGAACTTGAGCCAGATGCACCCAGTTAAGCTGTGTCCTGGTTTCTGACACACTCGAATTATGAGATAACAAATATTTGCTATTTTATGCTACTGAATTTGGGGGCAATTTATTTTGTAGCAAAAGATAACTAATACAACCTTCATCTATGATCTGGATCCTCACACGCTTCTCTTTTCCACATCTTCAAGTCTTCTCTTTCTACCTGCTCCTTCTAATCTGCAAATACAAATGGAAAACCTATTTCAAAGAAAGGAAACCTTCACTTCCAATTTCCCTTCCAGCTACAGCTATGTTTCTCCCCTCCTCTTTAGAGCCAAACTTCCTGCGTTATCTACACTGGATTTCTCTTCCCTTCATTTCCCTTCTCTTCCATTCGCCTCCTGTTCATTTCATTGCAATGTAGTCTCTAGCCCAGGAACCCCAGAGAAACTCCTCTCACCAGTGTTTCCAATGGATCCCGTGGGAATTTTCAGACTTTATTTTACTTGACAGTTTTGAATCATTCAGTACACCTCATTTCCCTCACAAATGTCTTCTTTCCTTCATAGCAATTATGCAAGATTCCCTAGTTTTTCTCCTATCTTTTGAAACGCTTCATTTCTCCCTCTTTTGCAGGCTCTTTTTTTCTCATTAAATGCAGAGTGTGACCCCAGATCATCTGCTCTTCTCACTCTATGTGCTCTACCTGGGCAATCTGACTTCCTGATGAATCCCAAACTGATCACTGGCTCATTCTGAGCTCTGGATACATATATCCAACAGTTCCTCTCAGCAAGTACAGAACTAGATTTATTAATTACTACCCCCATCCTCCTTTTCTTCCTCTTCTCTCTGTCATAGCAAATGCCGTTCCTGCCTGCCCAAACTAGAAAAGTGGTCAACTTGACTTCCACCTGTGCATACACGCAGTTGCTATCTTCCTCTTTCCATAGTGGTTTGCAATTCTGTTCACTTTTCTCCATTCACAGTGCCACAACTCCAGGACACCATCGTCTCTTGCCTGCATAACTGTAAGAGCCTTCTAACTGGTCTTCAATTCATTGTTCTCTCTGCAGCCTGAGGGATTGTTTCAAAACACTTTTAAAATGTCAATTCTCTGCTTAAAATTCATCAATATCTTCCTATGAAGATAAAGTTGAAGTTTTACCTATAGGTAGTGTGATCATTTAGTTTCTCATCCAAATGGGGCTTCACTTTGGAGAGTGAAAGGGAGTACTGCTAATTATTATGAAGGAACAGGAGCATAAACTGAGACCATCTGAGAAAATGGGATAAGAGGTCACCTTATTGATAAAGCCCTGTGAAGTCTGGTCCCCAACAACTTTAGCAGCCTGTCTCCTGTGCTGCCATACACACTGGTCATTCTGAACTTCACTCAGTTCCTTGAACTCACCATAATCGCTCTTGCTTTTGAGCTTTTGGACATAGTGTTGTGTTTGCCTGGGAACCACTGCTTTAGACTTGTTAAAAATACAGACTGTTAAGTCCTATTCTGGTTCTACTGAATCAGAATCCACATTTAAACAAAATCCTCAGATTATCTATATGAAAATTAAAGTTTTTTTAATTTACTGATACATAATTGACATATAACATTAATTTCAACTTTAAACATTGAACATTTAAGTTTGAGAAGCACTCATTTAGATGATCTTGTGTAAGTCAGACAATTCCAAGATCACCTCATGAATATAACGTTTATGCTATAGATTTCCTTTCATACATTCATTTACCTTTCACCTTTCAAACTGCCTTTTATAAAAAGAATCAAATTGTGTGTGACCCTACTCTCTGCCTCTGATTAATCCTTTTCTAGGTCTGAATTTTCTTCTTAAAAACATAGAAATCCTAACAATAAATACACAGTGTTTCACATACGTTGGAATTTGTTACATGAAAACCAAACACTTGAATTCTCTCCGTGGTTTTTATTCTGCCTGCAAAGTTTTTCTGTTTATTCTTTAAGCCTTTCACAGGTCACCTTTTTGAGGTTGCTGCTCCCTACACTTTCAATCTCACTCTAAGCTGAAACACAGCCCCTCCCTTAACTTCCCAAAGCAAGAGCTAGCTGTAACTTTACCAAGAACTTGGGAGTCTATGAAATGAAAATACATGCAGAAAGCCAGCCATTGGAGAGGAGTGCTTCAGGGGTTCATGGCTACACCTTTCCAAGGGGAGTTCTGACCTTGGCTTTACTCCTTGACATGTTGCTAAAATGCTGCTCACCAACCCCATCCCCCCTTCTACCTCATGTTTATGCCTCCTCCAAATTACCGCCTACCTAGAACACAAACCCCATCTCATCTCAGGACCAAAGATAGAGAAAAATCTAGTTTTCCCTTCTTGTCCTGGTGTAAAGCCTGCCCCAGCCCAGTTTGTGTCATCACATGCAGTCTAACTCCTTCGAGTCCTTAACACTCTTCAATTTAGAAGAGATCTGGACTTGATTGTTGCTCAGTCTATAGGTCTACTGAAGATTGTCAATCACTCTCCCCACCCAAAAGTATCTAAATGCCTTCAGAGGCCCTTAGTGAAATAGAAAGATACTGCAAGTTTTCAAAAAAGTCAGAATTCTGCTGCAGATAGAGAGCACTCTTTCCATGTAAAATAGTTTATTTAACTCATTAGAGACTAGATCTAACTGTCAGAAATTCATATGTGTGATGGCTGTATTTTTTAAAAATATGAAGGGTCACCTGTGCATGTTCGCTGTATGAGTTCAAAGAATGACTCAAGTATGAATCGTGTCCTATTTTACTCCTAATTTCCCCTTTTTCAGTCATCTTTTAAGAGTTCCCTCTTTCTTGACATGATTTCAGTGAAATTAAACTTGAACAAAGTCATTTCATCAGACAGTGCAGAAACAACTAGATATTCATGTAGGAAAAAATGAAACTTAACTCATCCCTCACACCACACACAAAAATTAATTCCAGATGGATTATAGACCTAGACATAAAATATAAAATGATAAAGCTTCTAGGAGAAATCATAGAAAAATATCTTTGCAATCTCAGGGCAAGCAAAGATTTCCTGAGGAAAACACAGAAAGCACTAACCACAAAAGGGAAAAAAATTGGTAAATTGGACTTCGTCAAATTAAACACTTTTGAAAGACAATGTTAAGAGAATGAATAGATAAGCCACAGAACAGAAGAATATGTTTACAACACATGTGTCTGACCAAGGACTTGCACCCAAAATATATAAAGAATGCCTGAAGCATAATAATAATAATAATAATAATAATAATAATAATAATAATACCAATCTTTAAAAAGAGGCAAAAAGTTTGAATGGTCACTTCACATAGAAGATATATAAGTAGCCAATAAACACTTGAAAAATGCTCAACATTATTAAGTTTTTATAAAAGTACAATTTTAAACCACAATGAGATACTACACACCCACTAAAATGGCTGAAATGAAAGAGAATAAAAACTCCAAATTCTCATGTTTTGCTAGTGGAAGTAGAAAATGATATAACCACTCTGGGAAGTTGTTTGGGAGTTTCCTATAAAGTTAAACATATCCTTATACAATTCAGCAATCCCAATCCTAAATATATGCCCCAGTGAAATGAAAAGATGATGACAGAAAGACCTATACGTAAATGCTCATAGCAGCCATATTCCCGGTAGCCCTAACGAGGAACCAGCCCAGGTATCTGTAAGCAGGAGAAAGGGAAAACTGTGACCTGTTCATACAGAGGGATACAACTCAGCAATAAGAAGAAACTAACTACTAATGTAACAGCAAGTCTGACTCTCACAAACATTACGTTTGAGTAAATGAACCCAGACTGAAAAGAGTGCATACTGTAAGATCTCAAGAACAGGCAAACTAATCGATGGTTAACAGAAATCAGAACAGCAGTTGCTTGGGGTGGAGGTGGTGGGGAATGACTGGGAAGGGCTGAGAGGACTTTCTGCTGTGATAGAACGTTACTTATCTTGATAGGAATGTGGATAAATGGAGGTGTCAGAACTGAAACCTGTGTGTCAATTTTCTCAAAACTGACCAAAATGTACACATAAGATCTGTGCATTTCCCTGTATTTAAATGATATCTCAATTTAAGAAAAAACTTGAGCAGCTTAAAATAATTTAATAATTGCATTTAGCTTCTTATAACAATTGATCCATAAATCCTACCATTTATACTAATAATGGTCAATTACTCGATGGTACAGATGAATAGCATTTTATATGTGTTATCTACTTAGGTAAAGCTATTGTTATGGATCTTCTGAATTTTGCTGAAGATAGCTGCAGATTTATTTTAACTTCTGTGTTCAAATATAAGACGTTTGTTTTAGAAAATGGCTGATTTCCCTCAGTGCTTTTCACTAACATGTGATCCCCTTACATGTTTCTGTTCATCTTTATTTTCTGATCCAAAATGTCTTCAACATTTGATTCTTGTACTTTTCCTCTCAAGTACTATTTCTCATGATGAAGCAACAGCTTAAAATGTACTTGGAACCTCTTTTCTGTATTGACCTTCTTTTCTAGAGTGCAGACCACACAGGCACTGCACACAGAAGGTACTCAAATACCTAAAAAAAGGTTGAACTTTTGAACATTTGAAAAAAAATGTTTAATCTCATATAGTGGGGTTCTCCTTTCCTTGAACTCAGAGTATACATGTAAGATAAATAATTTAATTGTGTCCAAATAGATCTTGCCTTATCTAAAAAGAATAATAATAGGAAATGTTGAATGATATTCTAACTTTTAAACTCTTATGGTTGAAATATATTGGTCTGTATGTATTACAATCATGCTGGAAAAAGTTCAACAAAATAAAACAAAAGCGACTGACAGTTTCCGTCTTATTATAAAAGATAAGGGACTGGTTTGACTAGAAGTATCTGTTTTTAAGGTACATCATGTT